ACCTAAAAATTATTGGGAAATGACCTGCTAATCAGCACTGGAAAATCAGTCAGAAGAATAACCCTCTCCTGCTGGCAGAGGCCATTTCCAATCATTTTTAGGTAATGATCCTGCCACTGAATACCCAGGGGTGCTCAAGGTGAGCCCCTGGGCAGGTCGAGTGTGGGGATGAGCTGAAGCGGGGCCCCTACGTGGGAAGAGCAGAAAGACCCCACAGAAGGGATGCACAGGAGCAGCCTAGGACCTGAGAAGCAACGGGAGCAGCTGGTCAGCCTGGAGGGCAGCTACCGGGATAATGTAGCTACTTCTGTGCCAGGACCCCAGGCTGCCTGCCCATCCAAGGGACTAGTCCACCCTAAAGAAGTGAACCGATTTTTCTTCTTCACAATGTGGAAAGCCTTGCTTGGCTGTGTAGGTCACACCCTGCGAGGCTGCATTGCTGAGGGGTTCAGAGCAGTCTAGATGGTTCTCAAGATGCTTTTGAGCTCTCACTTTCACTCATTCATTCAACAAGCATTTACAGAGCATCTGGATAGAACTATGTACAGAGCACCCGCCCTCCAGAGCTAGACCCCGGCCGAACAGAAAGCAAGGTTTGAGTGCAGTGCCTCCCGACGCCACTTGCCTTGGCCTTGGTCTGCCCTAAGCTCTAGTGACGTGAGGTCTCCCCTTCCTCCCCTTCCCCCGCAAACCCTGCTCTGACTCAGAGCTCAGACTTGGTCAGGTGGAGGAGTAAATGAGGGCAACATCTTCAAAGACTACCTCTGCCAGAGGGGCTGGACGAGGGGTAAAAATTTCACCCAAAGGAATGAGGCTCTGGTGGCCAAATTTTAGGAAAAAGCTAGCGAGGTGAGAAAATATTTCGGAGCTATCACAGTCTTAGCTCCTGTGGGTCCCTCCCCGCCCTTGCTTATGTGCCCAGTAAATTCTCCTCATTTTCACAAACCAGTTCTTCCTTGTCACGCCTTCCACAGCTCTCCCTGAGGACCCCGTGCTGCCCTACTATTAGAGTGACCCCGTGGCTTTGCGGCTTTTCACTTGTATTTCACTGTAATTCCCACATGAGGCCGTGGGCCCCCTGAGTGTTGACGTTCCCTGTATCCACAGCACACCCCAAGGCCCACTGTAGGTCAGTGACAGATGTGTGACTCACTGATTGGCACTTCAAGGCCCTGAGTCAGGCAGTGACCTCCTCACCCTGTGCGTGGGGCTGTTTCTGGGTGTTTCAGTGTCAGTCCTTAAAGCAACAGACGAAACATTGACCTTTGACACAGTACCTTTGGATTTTCATCAGAATGGGATGGCCCTCATGTGAGGAGTGATGAACTTCTAGTTTGTAACCTTCTAACCCCTAGAAATTCCCCAAGTTTTTCCCCCTGGGGGTGGCAACTCATCACTGAAGAGGGAAATCAGTTTCATAGGTTTGGGTCAGTTTCTTTTTTTAATGAACTACAACAGAATAGAACAGAAAAGAACAATAAAATAGAAGACAAGAGAATTTGTTAAGCCAAGTATTCCCCAAACAAGTGTTGTTCTATGAGACTAGTTCCACTTGTGTATGTCTGTGTCTGTGTGCACTAGGTCACAGGGAGTTATGATGAAAAACAAACAAACAAACATGGGAAGTCACCTTCCTAAACTGTTCAGAGGAAAGGAGCCGACTCTCCCCGCACTGTCTGCCCAGGGCGGAGATCGCGGGTATACCCTGGGAACTGCCTCCCCCTCCTTCTATCCTGGACAGACCCAGCCCTGGACCTGGCAGAATATTTTCCTTAGTGTAGGCTTGGAGTCCAGGGAATTGAGAAGGCAACATAGGCTTTTTTGACCATGGAGAAAATTTAGAGGCTCACATCCACCCTCTCATGGGATTCCTGGAACCATTTTTGTCTTGGATCCTGAGGAACAGGCTGCATCTGAGAGGTATCTCAGTGAAGGCCCACCTCCCCCTATGAAGGGAGCCCAGCCTCCTCCCTGGCTTCTAGCATGAGCAGTGTCTCCAGTACTGTGTGCTTCTCAGCCCTGCTGGTATTATGGCTGCATCGTCAGGCCCAGGCCCACAGGCTGAGGACACTATTTAAGGAGACTCAAAATAATCCTGAACAGGGCATCCAACAGCTCCTTGTACATCACTGTCTCATTCAATTCCAGCAGTTACACGGTGTAGGGGCTAAGACTGTCTTCACCTGCACTGGTTGAGTGACCGTGGGCAACTTTGCCTCTCTGTGCCTCAGTTTCCCCACCGATAAAATGGGGATAGTAACTGTAACTACCCCACAGAAATATTGTAAGGATCAAACTGTAACCGTTCAGGACCCTGTGGGGCTTTTCCAGGACAGACCCCTCACCCCATATCCTCTGCTGGAGCTCCTCTCTGAAGGACCCAGATAATAGTATCTCATGCATATTTCCTGAGTTTTTCAGGTGCTATAAACCACCACCAAGTGGAAGGAATTATCTATCTGATGGTCATGAGCACGCAGCCCCCAGACCTTCTGGCGCCTAAGGATTGACCACCATCAACCATCAGAATTGTGCACAGCTGATCACAAACCCTGGGACGCCCTGCCTTCATCTGGCCTTTAACAGTGCTCAGCTGAAACCCTTAAGGGAATTCAGGGGTTTGGGGGGCCATGAGCCATCCGTTCTTCTTGCTCAGCCCTGCACTAAACCTTTCTCTGCTCCAAACTCTAAAGTTTTGGTTTGTTCGGCCTCACTGTGTGTCAGGCACGCAAACCTGCCTTTGGTAACAAAACCAGCTACCACATACAAAGTGCCCAGATCTATCCCTGCACACAGTAGGCATTCAATAAATGTTCATTATTATTAATCATCTCATAAGCCTGTATGATAGTTATTATTTTTCCAGATTTATAGATAAGAAAATGAGGCTTAGAGAAATTAAGTAACCTGCCCTATGTGTTGTGTCCAGTAGAGGCAAAGCCAGAACATAAACCCAGATCTCCTGACTCCAAGTTCTGTGACGTCTTTCCCCTAATGATTTCGGAGACTGTGGGGCATCAGACTATGCCCTGTGCTGAACTTCCACTTTGTCAGTCTCTGCGAAGCACTCGGATCAAAGGCAGCTGAAGGGATGCTGAGCCCAGGGCAAAGTCCTTCTCAGGATTTTGCTTGGGAGTACAGAAGTCGTCTTTGGGAAAGAGATTTTTTTTCAGTTCAAATGTAGTTGATAACAATGTGTTAGTTTCTGGTGTACAGGATGGTGATTCAGTAATACATATATATTCTTTTTCATTATAGGTTATTACAAGTTATTGAATCTAGTTCCCTGTGCTCTATAGTAGGACCTTGTTGTTTGGGGAGATAGATTCTTGGGGGAGTTTGTGTGTGTTAATATGAGAGAATCAGAGATGGGGGTCATTCTTGCACTGGCATCTTTTTGAGTTCTCAGCTAAGTGAACAGTGATGGACTTATGTGGTAGAATCCTTATGCCTTCAATTAACTTTTCATAAAAATATCTCTATCATTGAGTAAAGCAGTTCGAGATGGAGATGATAAAGTGAGTGAGGATTTCATGGGTTCAGTAGCAGCCGTGCTGTATGTTCTGGCTTTTTCCAGCCTGCCATTTTCCTATATATTTAGCACAAAGACCTAATAACTGTCTCTGTTTTCTCTTTGCTTGTAACCCACAGAGGGAACTGAACTTCCACATTCAGCCCTCAGGGTGGAGCCTGAGGAGAAAAATAATGCTAATCGTGATATTTTTAAATGCTTAGTTTTTTGTCTACTAGATCTGTCATGACCACACTACCATGTATAAATCCTCTGAAAAATAGGGATTTGTATGATGATCAGGAGACACAGGATTCTGCAATGCTTTTTATTTTTCTTTATTTAATGGAGGTACTGGGGATTGAACCCAGGATCTTGTGCATGCTAAGCCCGCGCTCTACCACTGAGCTATACCCTTCCCCTGCAATGCTTTTTAAATTATCAAGGATATTTTGATGTGTTTGGGATGGTTTTCCTGGATTTTATTACAGTCAATTTTTTTTGAGGATTAAAATCCACATGGGTTTTATATGGTAATTCAGTTCATCAAAGTACTTGATTATAGTGTATGTCAATTATTTCTCAGTTAAACTGGGGAAAAAAGAAAGTATCTGATTAAGCTGAGCTTTCTAGTTGTACTGGTTAATAAACTGCTGTGATTCTCAAATAGTCCTTTTCACAGATTTGTGCCTGGGCTGAGCTGGGTGTGGGGACTGCTCAGGGATCTTGGTGTCTACTAGAATTCCTGGCACTCGCAGGTGCTCCTGAGTGTAAGCGATCTGAAACTGTCCAGGAGGCGCTGCAGGACGGGTTCCTGGGGCCCTCACAGAGGATTAGAAAAGGGGCCCCAGCTGCCAGGTTTGCAGACAGGCCGTGTAATGCAGATAAAATAAGAACTGCCTTCAGCATCCTCCCTGAACTCACACCAAGAACTTTCTGAGAAAAAAAAAATCCCCATTAATGAACGTGCAGCTAAAATCTTCCTACATTTACGCTGTGTGATATTGACTGAAACTGAGTCACGAGAGAGGGGCATCGCTTAGTGGTGTTTCCCAACTGACCCGTGAAGAGAGGCAAGGTCAAATGACTGCTCCTCCCCAGGGGACTTGCAGGAGCAAGAGGAGGGAATTGGCACACAAACTACCCCCGAATTTCATACCAGCCAGGCTTTTTAACAATAGTTTTAGCACTCTGAGAAAAATGGTCTCTGGATCTATTGCCCTTGAGAAATTAAGAGGACCATTGGATGACAGACTTTACATTAGATCCAGGCAACGTGTAGCACATTCGACCGACTCGTCTTAAGGGTCTGGACCCACCCCTGTTTTTTGTACATTCCAGCTTTGCAACAAGAATGTCTTCAGACGTGCATATGACTGAAATGGAGCAAGACTTCAGGATGTATTCTCGGCACCCGCAAGTCCCCGCCTCCCAAGTGCTGGCCCGCTCATGCTCACTGGACCCCACGGCCGGCGGGGCCCCCTCTTACCTCCAGCACGATTTCTTTCAGCTGGAACTGTTTCTGCACGACTTTATCTGAAGACACGGGCTCATGGTAGTAGAGGCAGAGCAAGTCGTATTTCTTCAAGACCTGCTTGAAGTTCTTCTCCGTGAGGCTGACCACGCGGTCCTTGCCGTCATAGATGGGGAAGTTCAGCCCCTCCTCTGCCCTGCAGGAGGACAGCAGGTAGACCCCCAGGATGAACAGGTGAGTTCTCTTCATCAGGGCGAAGTGTTGTTTGTCTTTCCCAGAGGTACCGCGTGCAGGAAAGAGGATGGACTCTTAGAAGACGTGCTGGGAGGGATGGGGAGCAGAGAGGCTGATTTCGTCTCTCTCCTTGGCCCTCCCCAGGCCGAGAACCCCCTCTTTGCCTCCTCGGGCTGCTAACTGTAATTGTGGGCGCAGGACGGAGCGGGTGGAGGCTCACACACATGCGTGCTTAGAACAAGAGCCAGGCTGGGCGGCCAAGCCCCAGATACCTCGCATAGCTCTGCCCAGCCCCTGTCTCATCAGGAACTCCATTTTTAGGATGCAGTTGTTTCGGGCTAAAAATAAATCATGCAATGAATTAAAAAAAAAGTTAGATACGGCACTGTTGAGGGATTCGCTGGTACAGTTTGTCAGGGTGGTGGAGAGCGAGGAGGCAGGAGGGAGACAGGGGAACGTGTGCATAGGAAATAAGGAGGCCGGGAAGGTCAGAGGAGAGAAATAAACTCAGAGGGAGGAGGGGAAAATGACAGAAGAGAGAGATGGGTCAGTGGCACCAATGAGCAAACGGCGAGGCTGGGATGTTTACAGGGCCACTCAGATGCTATTAAATTGGTCCATTCGTCCAGGGAGGTATTTCAGCCTGTCCCTTGCTGGCAGGCTGCCCATCCCCTACCTGCTCACTGCTGACGTGGGAACCAGACGAGCCCCCAGGTGGACTTGCTGTCCCGCACCTGCCTTTCCCTGGCTGGCCACTGTGCCACATCCCCCGTGGCTCTATCGGTCACCGAGGGAGGGAAGAAGAGACACCCTTTCTCCACGAAAATAGCTCCAGAGGTCCCAGCTCGCCCGGGGGTCACAGCCCCTCTCCTTCCACCCCTGCCCACAGCTGAACGCAGCTATCACCAGGAAAGCCTGTCCATGTTGTAAAATTAAACAAAAGTTCAACAGTCTTCCTTGGAAACCTCTTAGGTTTTTCACATCATCCGTGTCATCTTTCTTTCTTAACACAACCCCTCAATGTATCATTTTTGCCCCTTTCCTCTCCATTAGAGACAGACTGCCGTAGCGAGTCCAGAAGCCAGACAGATCCGAGTTCAGATCTGGGCTCTGCCTCTTAATGGCTGAATGGACTCTGGAGGGTCGCTCACGCTCTCTGACCCTCAGCCCCGCCCCACCCCCCATGTGACCTGGTGATCTTCATAACAATATTGGAAGGTTTAGAACATACAGATGGACAAGCACAGTACCAAGCAGTCAGCCGGACACGGTAGCTGCTTTAGTTCCTTCTGCTCTTCGTGGAGGTGGTGGCACGTAGGTTATTACAATGATTACTTGCCGGTTTCTAATAGCAATGGTTTGCGAACCCTTTCTTGTCCATTTTTCCTTGAATCCAGCAGGCAGTTGGGGCAGACGTGATGCGGGCGCATTGCGTGAGTGAGCTTACTGAGCTTCAGGGAGCCCAGCTCCTTGTCAGAGATCACGCTACTAGGTGCCTGAGTGAGGGCGTAGCTCCGCCTGGGGGCCCCCTGCTCCCGGTCCCTTTTACTCCGATGGGGCAATTCCCCCGCAGACGCCTGTTTTCTTAAGTGGCTCCTTGCCCATCTCTTCTGGTCAAACAACAGTCCACTCATGTCTTTTGTTTCTTTAGAGTGGTCTTTGGTTCTCAAGATTCAGGCCAAGTTTTTCTCTTCCTTTGGTTGGAAAATCAGCTCTGGAAATATCGAAGACTCTGTCACGCAGCTTGGCAGGGGACAGAAGTAAAAAAGAAGTTCAGTGGCGGGCATGAGTGAGATCAAGCCCCCGTACTGCAGCCAGAGGGCCCGACGCTGAGTCAGGCTGACGGGAGTTGTTTTCAGGACACGTTCACGTCCAGGAAGCCAGGGAAACCATCACTGAAACCCACGACAGCATCCAGCTCTTTCTAGTGGTGAATTCTCTTGGCTTCTAAAGAGAGAGCCAAGCATAGCCATTCTAAGATGTGGTTAGCTTTTCAGGTCATCAGCAAGCATGTGAGATTTCTGCTTTCCTTAGAAAATTTAGGGGGGAAAAGATTTCCGAGCGAAGCCATGTATATATCTTGTCTTTTCAAGGTCGGCTTCCCAAAACTGTTCCCAGTTGTCTCAATCTCATTGGCTTATCTTTATTTAGAATTTGCTCCCCTTTTCTTAATATATTAAAAAAATTTAGTGTTACCAAAAACCTGGGAGATATTTAAAGTCAGTCTTTGAATTTCCCACTGACTTGCAACTGATGAAAAGGTACCAGGGCAAAGGGATAATTTTTTAAAATTTAGGTTAGCCCTCAAGTCTGGCTTAGGACCAACTGTGTATTAACAGAAAAAAAAAAGCCCCCGTGTGGAACATTCCTGTTCCTATATCCTGGCTCTATTTGGGGCCTCAGAGCCTAGCCCTGAGGATGGAATGGCCAGTGCCATATGCCGTGGTGATCAGGTTTCCCACTGTCCATCCACAGGGTGGACCTAAATGTGTGTCCCATTCTCAGTAAGGTTAGGTTTGCATGGTCTACGTTTTATAAATCAGCCTTTTTTTTTTTCTGGCTGCCTTTTATTGTTTTTCCTTTGCCTTCTTGCTCACCAACTTTAATGTATTTACTTTGTAAACAAGGGATACTTCTGACATTTTTGAGTCAACTTTGCGTCAGGCAAATCAGCTTTTTCATTCCAGTTTTAGAGGCTACCCAAGTTAGGGTGTCACCAACGCATACCTGGCTTATGTGGTGGAAGTGTATATGTAGCTTCATTTGTGTTAGCAGGTATTTTTTGGTTTTGTTTTTAAACAAGAAAGGATAAAACAAAGTATACAAACCAATACAGATAAATGTTAGTTATTGTCACAATATATGATGTAGGCCCCTTATTTTTGCTAACAATTTCCAGTCCTTCACTCCGTGAGCGGTTGCGCACTAGAATCCCTGACTCCAGCCTCGCCCCTTTTATTTATTTATCCTTGACAGGTGGCAGGACAGTTTTGCATATTTAATTTGATCTTTAGAATAACTCATTTTACAGATGTCGGGACTTGAAGCTATGATCTTTCATTTATTTGCTATTTAAATACATTTTTATGGGGCATTGTCTATGTACCAGACCGTCTTCTGGGTACTGAAGTTGGACACATTATTCATCTGAACTTACTGGGTTTACATCCTAGAAGGGAGACAATAATCAAACAAACAAAATGTATGTATGGGGCGTGTGCGTGTGTGCGTGTGCGCCCATGTAAAATGTGGCTTCAGGTAGAGGCATGTGTGTTACTGAACCAGACGGATCCACTCACCCATGCATAGTAAAGCCAATCTCCTGACAGTGGGTTTTGGTGAAGGGAAGTGCAGCTTTCCTGTAAGGCGGCATACAAAGAGAACGGGTGGCTCGTGCTCAAAATACCCTGAATTCCCCAGAAGGATTTCAGCAAAGCATTTGGAAAGGCCAGGTGAAAGGGTTGGGGGGGGGGTACGTGATCAGCTGGTGCACAATTCTCTGACCCGCCAACAACAGGGCGGGGTCACAAGGGTTAGCAGCATCAGGCCTTAGGCGCCAGTGGCTTCTGTGCTCATGATCATCAAGTAGTTAATTTCTTCCATTTGGTGGTGGTGTTGGCCTCTGTAAAACAACTCCGGAAGGGTGCATCTGATACTATTATCTGGGCACTTCAGAGGGGAGCCACAGCGGAGGATATGGGGGAGGGGTCTGTCCCAGGGAGGCCCCATAGGGTCCTGCTCAGTTATCCGTGCTCTGAAGAACAATTGAGGGCAAGGGAGAGCCTGTGACAGTGGGTAGGGGGTGGCCCTTTTGGACAGAGGTGGAGGAAAGCATCTTCAGGGAGGGAGCTTGGGAGCAGCAGGGAGAGGAGGGGTGAGGCTGGGAGCAAGCTGCAGAGGAAATCCAGTCCCAGGGAGAGGAGGCCCCGGGCTCGGCGCTGAGACCTATGAATTCCCACCACTAGGAGGCGTTGTATCCTCCTTCCTCCTATGAAAGCGTCAGTCTTCTCTCTCAAACTCTTTTGTCTGTTAGTAAGACATACGGGCTCACGCCTACATCGGAGGGGCCACGGGCAGGGGACCTATCTGAAGGACTCGGAGGCAGCTCAGCGAGAGCGGTGACCGGGAGTCAGGAGACCTGGGTCCAGGGCCGGCCTGACAGCCCAGCCCGGCCGTGGGACTTTGGTGGAGTCTCCTCTCCTTTCTAATTTGTGGAAAAGGGTCAGACTCACTGGTCTCCTATGGCCCCTTTTGGCTCTAAAATTCTAGAATTTGTTCCGCCCGTAGAGTATTTTCTTTTCCCAAGATAGGCCTTGGCACAGGCCACAGGTTTGTGGGAGTTTGTTGGTGTTACCCACTGAGGGGTTTGATGGGCGTGACTCTGGACAAGTCCAAGCTTGCCTCTCCCCTAGGACAGTCCAGGACTTCGCTGCCTCCAAAGGCCCCTTCTTTGGCTAAAATACTCCACCCAGTGGACAAAGCTGAGCATGGCATCTTTCTTTGTTTGAGCCTTTTCCTCTTCTCCCATTTGGCTGGGCCACCGGCCAGGGGAGTCAGCCGGCTGGCCTGGAAGAGAAAGTCCCAGAAATGCTTGTGTCTCCAGCCCTGTGCCCCACGGCCTCAGGCTTCCTCTGCTCAAATCAGAATAGTCCTGTTAGTTACTTCTCCTTTTCCTCTTGACTCTGAAGAACAGGCAGCCCCAGGAGCCTTCCCTGCTCCCCAGCACCAGAAAACTACTAAACAGAACCGGGCAGAAAAAGAGCAATGCTGGGTTGAATAAGAGCTCGGCTGTATAACCGTCCAGGTTTTAATGAATGTCACTTCCTCGGGGGGGCCCTCAGTGTAGACCAGGGGCTGACTGACATTCACTCCTGTAGGTACCATATTGTCCTTGGAAACATCCCTCTCACTGGGGTTCTTCTTTCCCCAGCTAGACGGAGACTTACAGGAGCCAGGACAGCGTCTCTTCAAAGTAACCCCTGCAACCAGCCACGCCTATAGTAGTTCTCATCAAATACTTGTTAAACAAATTTGAAGCACTTACCTTAGTTTAAGTATTTTACAAATTGAACTTAGTTCTTCTTCTTAACAACCCTATGAGGTTGGTAGTTTCCATATTCCCAGGTGGATAAGCTGAGGCACAGGGAGGTTAATGAACTTGCACAGGGTCATGTGGCTAGAAACGGCAGAGCTGGGGTTTGAACCCAGGAGGTGGGCTTGCTTTCTGTTTTCTTCA